GCCAGCAGGAGGACATCCCCCAAGGAGTCCCAGACTGCAAGAGGGCACAGGCCGGGCTGAGGGACCCCCCCATCGAATGCACAAATTTTGTGCACCGGGCCTCTAATATATATATAACCTATAGACCAGTCAACGAGTCTCTATGATGTGCACTGACCACGAGGGAACAGACACTCAATGGACAGGATCAGGCTCCTTCCTTTCTGGATCGGGTCTGCAGGGATCGGGCCAAATCCAGCTATCTGACATCCCCTGAAAGGTCCCTTATTGCAAGAGGGCGCAGGCCAGGCCAAGGGACCCCACAGGTACACGAATCCGTGCACTGGGACTCTAGTTGCTATATAATATGGGAGGTGCAAAAGAGTTCAAAAGGAGGCAAAAAAATGACTCACTTCCTAAGAGCATAAATTTCAGGGGATTTTGAGAAAATAGACTTAGGAGAAAGGGAAGAAGAAGATGATGATGTAAAAAATTCTGTGATGTTTCTGGTCCTGATTTGTGTCCCACAGAATGCAAGACCAGCCTTTATCATTTAGGTGTAAACTGAGAATCAATCCTTATCCAGAAGTTAGAGCTCACACCTGCACTCCCTGCAGAGATGGAGATTGAACACACAGTGATAAGATGAAACTCAAATGCAGATTACTGACACTGTCAACTTCTAAGAGGCAGGCAATGTATAGTTACAAGATCGGAAATTGAGTGTGGTAAAACAAATTCATATCTGAGCCATTAACTTGATATTGCTAGAGATCATTTCATCATAAATATCCATATATAGCTATGTCAAGGGAGAACAATTTACAGCAACAATAGCAGCTTTCTATTGCACTTGTGGATGATACAACTAACTCATTGTATATGACTATGCTCATTTAAATTTTGGTGTGGTTCCTTTTGTCGCAGATGACATTGACGCAGAATTACTCTGAACATATTCTGCTGTATAAAACATCTAAAGACTGTATACTTCCAAGTACAAAGACAAAACACAACACTTAATGTTGTGCAATTTGTGTCTGGGATATTGTTATTTGTGCTCTCAATTCATCTTCAGAAATTTTTTCCAGATAAGTCTTATTATTACCCAGATTTAGACATACAGGAACTAAAATCAGGACTGAGAAGTGACATGGTAAAAGCACAGCAAAGTGACACAGTTAGGATTAAACTTTGACCTATGTGACACTTGCATGACTTTCCCATGCTAATTGATCAATGCCTGTAATCATATATATATACACTGACACTTGATCAAATGAATGATAATAAGGGTGATGTGAAGAAACTGGTTCAGAATAGATGATAGTGTTAATAGCCAGGGACTATGTTGATATACTTCAGACACACAATCTCATTGACACCTCAGAACAACCCTGTGAGGAAGCATGGTTTTATTTTTAAAATAAAGATTTTTAAAGTAATTTGAAATTGTTTGAAAATCTCACATATAATGAACAACACAAATTGATGATCAAAAATAGATCCAGAGACAAGGTAACAGTGAACAGTCCGTCCAACCTCAGAGAGAAGGAAGGGGAGGGGGGGGTTAGAGATTAACCAAAGGACTTGTATACATGCATATTAGCATAACCAATGGACAGAGACACTGGGATGATGGAGGCTTGTCCTGGGGGGTGGAAGTGGCAGGTGGGGGGTCAATTGGGGAAAAAGGAGACATATGCAATACTTTAAACAATAAAAAAAGAATATTGTGGAGCAGAAAGAATAAAAAAAAATAGATTCAGAAATAGAGAAGCATCAAACAGACATCAAACTTCAGGGGGAAGGAAGGAAGGGGGGGCAGGGGGGGAGGGAGAGATCAACCAAAGGACTTGTATGCATAAATAAATGCATATAAGCATAACCAATGGACACAGACACTGGGGGGAGGGCATGTGTTGGGGGATGGGAGTGGCCAGGGAGAGGTCAATGGGGGGAAAAAGAGACATATGTAATATTATATTTAATACTTTAAACAATAAAGAATCAAATAATAATAATAATAATTTATAACTTTTAATTCATGGCTATTACATATTCCACAACAATAGCTTTGGTTGTTATCTAAAGTTTATTGTATACATTTAATTATTAATGAAATTAAATATATATCATATATTAAATGAAAAAGTTAGGGACTTTAATTCCTATAAACAAATGTATCTTAAGATGACTCCACTATAATGTGCTAAAATTCAATTTAATTAACTTTTAGATAACCCTAGTAAATCAATATTTTAATGAAAAATCATCAATTATACTGTTATTACTACAATACATTGCTTAGACATTTTCAATAAATGGATCATTAAAAGTTAGTGAGTAAAAACTGTGTGATTTCTTTAAAAATAGGACAAAGAACAAAATAGTATCCTGAAATAACAAAGGATATTCAGGAAATATTTCTAAAGCAAGTAGATATTCTATTTTTCTTACACAGTACATGTTTTTAAAAAACTTTTTCTGAAGTTTTAAAAATTACATATAGTGTTTTAAATGTAGGTAAGTAGATTAGAGATAAAATATTTATGATTTTAAAAGAGCTCTGTGTTTAAGCACCATATTTTTGTTGTTTCTGAGAGACATATTACACAAGGATATTTTCTGGTATGTTAATACCTATAGTTCAATCCTACTTCAAACTGCAGCTCCTGAAAACATCTACATGTGAGCACATCTGAGACTCCTGGTGGTAGCCACTCAGCTGAGCCTCCCCAAATTCCTGATCCCCAAAATCACAAGGGAAATAAAAGATTGTTTTATGCCACTATGCTTTGGGGTCATTTATTATGAGGCAAGCATTCCAGAAGATAAGTTCAGACGATGCATATACAGAGCTCATTAAAATGTTATAAGCATTGCCTGACTGGCGTGGCTCAGTGGTTGAGCATTAACCTATGAACCAGGAAGTCACAGTTCGATTCCTGGTCAGGGCACATGCCTGGGTTGTGGGCTCAAGCCCCATGGGGGGCTGTGCAGGAGGCAGCCGATCAGTGATTCTCTCTCATCATTGATGTTTCTATTGCTCTCTCCCTCTCCGTTCATCTCTGAAATCAATAGAAAAATAAGTTATAAGCATCATGTTTGTTGGGCAGTGAACATTTGTCATGAGCTCCTAATATATATGCAATGGAAGGGGAGCTCTGCTAGCATTCCACTCCTGGACTTTCCAACTCCCTTGCCTACTCCTCCCTGTGGGAATGAGGGGGATGTCTCATTGGTAACTGTGAGGACTTCATATTGGATGCACTTTTCCTAGCCACTCCCTTTTTTATTTTCAGAAAAGACCTTCGAATAGAAACCACAGGTTCTCTGCAGTTTTCAGCCCAGATGCTTACCTCAGCAGTGATTATGACAAGAGTGATCTACTATGCTAAGTCTAACTAATTCTGTAATTCAGTATAAGGACATGCCACATGATATTTTATCCTCGTGTATTTCTTTTGTCTTATCTGGTGATTGAGAATTTAGTCAAGGAAAGGGGATACTATTAATTGAGACCCTCTGCTTCAAATTCAATGATGATCATATTGGCTAAACACAGTCATATTTTGGGATGCAATCATTAGTTTGAACCATATTACATTGGTGATATGTCACTGATTATGACCTACACATTTAACAATTTTTATCAAAACTTTAACACTATATGCATGATCAGAAGTTTAATTTTCTTTTGTCCTGTATTTCTCAGGCCCCTATCAGGTGCCCAGTAATCTTGTAAGAGCATTTTCCTGTGGAAAGGAGTAGTTGTTAAATTTCATTTGACTTCAAGTAAGAGAATTGTTTTCTGAAGTGTGGCCTGAAGACCATCCATATAATGCCAGCTGATGAGTTCATAAAATATGCACCCCTAGTTCCTGTGCTAGACTTATGACATTAACCTCCGGCTGTGGGATTCCAGAATTTGCATCCTAACAGACTCTTCAGGTGATTCTTATGGCAAATACAATCTCATGTAACTTTTTAAGACAAAAGACATATGATCTCAACGTACTCTATGATAGTCCAAGTATAGTCAGACTTTAGGTATCAGACTTTATGGAGTCTATTAACAACTAGAGTAGACTCAGAATCCCGCCCCCTCCACCCCCAAAAAAGGCCCACACAGGATAAACTATGCTTTAAAAATTATGTAATATGATAAGGAAAAAATAAAGTTGATTGAATATTTACAATATGGTAAAGACATCAATATGCATTTTACAAGGCACACTTCACCTTTCTTATACAAGGAAAATAAGTATTATTATCCCAATTTTAAAGATGAACTCATCTTAAAAAGAGTTCATGGCCTTGTGTTGCGAAGCAGATCAGTGGCTGGGGTTCCTGTTGTGGTGTGTAGGTACCAGAATTACTGAAGCCAAATTTATTGTCATGTTAGTAAATGACTTAGAAACTGAAAAAATAAATAATAAAAGAGTTCGGATAACATTGCCAAAGCTGAAACATTATAAATGGCAGAGTTGAGAATCAAAACTAGGTTTGTCTTTCTTTAAAGCTCAGCTTAACTATTCAATTTTTGAATTTTGACTGTTGAAGAAATTGGTAATGTTAAGAGAAAAAAGGCTGCCAATCAAGAAAATAAAATGGGGATCTTAAAATAATTTTGGAGAAATATCATGATAGAAAATAAATACAGCAGTCTTAACTTTTTTTCCCACTGGATAAAAGTTGTTATTTAGAAAAATAAAAAACATATTTAGTTTTCTATAATTGTTTTATAACAAATAAACTAAATAAAAAAAAAGGATGTCTACTTTAATAGATATAATCCTTAGCAAATAAAAACTGGTTGATTATTTTTCACTATTACTATAGAAGTAATTTCTGTAAATAGTTTTGAGAAGCCTGGGGTGTAGAGTGTAGAATAAAATATCAGGCTCACAGTTACTTGACTAATTTATACTGATAAAATAACAGAATACAACGTATCTCTTGTTCTTGGTATATAATAAAGAAGCATCTTTTAAATAAGGAGTAAAAGCCATCTTAGAGAAGAGAACTTTTAGGAATTTTACAGTAGACAGGAAAGGAATGAAACTTTGAGTCAGAAATACTTAATAAGGGCTTATAGACATGAAAATCATACTTGAGTAATCTTGTCGACAGAAACGTACTAAATCGACATGAAAGCATTTGCCTACAGTTTTCTATGTCTAATTGCTTTTTGACTATTTTAAACATTTTATGGAACTATAACGCCTTTCAAACTTGCCAACTGTGCCATAGAAATACATATTATTTTCTGTTAAGAAAAATATTAAAGCAAACTATATTGTTTACCTGGGAAAATTTTTATTTCAATTTGCATATATAAAATATTTGTACATTTCCAAAGAGATATACTCTCTTAAATATGCCATCATGAAGAGAAGGTGGGAAAAAGAACAGTAATATATGTGAGAACACATTCTTTCAAAGATAAACTATAAATGGATAGGGAGTAGCCTAAGTTGTCAATCTATGGAGTTAGCATGTTGTTTAAAGATATGATGACTTGAAGGAATACAAAGCGTATTTTGAATAAACTGATTTCAAATTTTTCTGCTATCAATGTTGGAAAGTCAAAGCTACATATATTATAGATATCACTGACTTTTGCAGAATTAGATTTAAATTAATGAAAGTCATTTAAAGGACATTTGCCTTTAACATTGAGAAAATAAAACCCATCTATCAGCTTACTGTTACATTTTTTACACGTGTGAAAATGCCAACCCATCATATCATTAATTTACTACCTTTTTCTTTCTGTTTTGCTTCTGTTTAAACTTGGACATTTATATGACTTGTTTAAAATGACAAGTATGAAAATCCATGGATTTTAGTGAAATATATGATGATGTTTAATTGATTTTTACATAACTTGTATGCATTCTGGTGAAAGGTCACAATTTACATTTATACTCATTTATCTTATTAGATTCAATATTATATGAAAGCAGAAACCTACTTTTGTACTGCACAAAGACAGTTCAAAGAATAAAGAGTGAAATGACAGACAGACTTTTGTTAATTCGAATTACTTTCATTTCCACAGCACAGGGTGAAGGGGATAAAACTGTCACAAGGTATTTTATACATTCAGTATATACCAAAAGCCAATTTGGAAAACTGAAGAATGCCAAAAACCTAAGATTGTGTGGCTTAATAAAAAATACCTTTAAATATTAAACTATGTCTTTTTCCTCCTCTGAATTTAGTTTTAGGCTGATTGTGGTAGACTTACCTTTTTAAAAAATAAACCCTTATTGCATTTCTTACAAGTTACTTGGTCAATTGGAGTCCAATGTGAGATTTAATTTTGTGCAAAACACCAAAAATACAATAACATTGAAAACCACTATGTATTGAGTTTCTGTTACCTTATCGCCTTCGGAGAATGTGATTCCATCCACGGCTCTTTTCCATGTGATCTCTGGAATAGGCTCCCCTTCCGCTTCACAGATGAGTGTGACTTGGCCATTCTCATACGTAGTTTCATTTTTTAGCTGTATTATGTGAGGCTGTACTGTAAAGAATACATACATTACTCCATCTATACTGGAAGAAAATATTTCTATTTAGACCTAAAATCCATGATGGGCATTTGAGTCCACAGAAGTATGATATGGAATTGTTAACATTGCAGCAGCCATGGCACCATGCTTTGCTTTAGAGTGGGGCTGACAGAGTTGCAAGGAACAGGTGAAAAAATTTCCAAAAATAGTTCACATCGATGATCATTGTAGTATGATATGGAATTGTTACCATTGCAGCAGGCATGGCAGCATGCTTTGCTTTAGAGTGGGGCCGACAGAGTTGCAAGGAACAGGTGAAAAAAATTTCCAAAAATAGTTCACATCGATGATCATTGTAAACTAACTAGAGGACCGACCAGTGTATGACATTCATGTACTCCTGGGTGGGGGGTCCCTCAGCCCGGCCTTTGCCCTTTGTCAGTCCAGGAGCCCTCAGGGGACGTCCGACTGATGGCTTAGGCCCACTCCCCAGACATCCCTAGTGCTGCTGTGGAGGAGGGCTGCTGCGCTGGTCATTCTGCTGTTCAGTCCATTTGCATATTAACATTTTATTATATAGGATTTTAAGTGGGTTAGATACCAACATACACATTATAATTCCTTCCAACATTTTGCCATCTTAAGAGTCACTTTATTTATGTATTTTTCTCTTAAACCACAAATTAAAATTTTCCCTTTTAAAGCCACATGTGTGTTTAAGTGTGAGTGTGTCTGTGTCTGTGTGTGTGGGGGTGGCATGGCATCCACTTAGTGAGTCATTATCTCCTAAGCTTTTAAAACAATATCGCCAAGGAGAAAACAATGATGACTGTATCCTGAATATGTAGTTAGGTATAATTAGTACAATATCTAAAATATTTATTAATAAAGATACAAAAATACTATTTATTTATATCATCCTAGTTGATTTGTTTTTACCTCAATTTACCTTAACAATATTACTTGGCACTGTAACTATTTCTTTATAATTATGACTTCTTTAAAAAGAAAAGAAAACATTATGTCTATTAGTTTAAATTATCTTAGTATTAAAATTATGTCCATCCACAAATTTATAATACCACAGAGCTTCACATTTGTAAACTCTGCATTATCTGCATTTATTAAATTTTTACTAGTTAAAACATCATGGGATAAAACCCATCACTTTTATTTAAGGATAAGTAACAGGTATTTTTAAAACATTTAAGTGCAATTAATCATGGTATATTAATAAGTAGTTCTTAATCTTAGAAAATTAGATTTCTGGATTCAGAAATATAGCATACATAATTTTTAACAATTAAGTGTTTATTCCATTGACTTAATACATTTAGTTACATTTCCACTATATATACATTACTTTGTGTCAAACACAATACAATATTTTTCAGTATTACCATAC